ACACAGGTGACATACAGGTGTAACAGAGATGGAATACAGGCAGGGTTCAGGTGTGCCCCAGGTGTGCCCGCGCTGCCCCCGGCCCCTCACCCAGCGGGCACAGGAACCGCACGTGGTAGTTGGAGCAGCTCTTGCCGGGCGGCTGCTCGCGGTGCAGGCAGCGGAATCCGCTCTTGGGGCTGGCGTGCACCACCTGCCCCACGGCCGCGGGCAGCTCCCACTCGGTGGTGCGGGCCTGGATGGCCACCGGGCGGTCACACACCCGGTCCCGGTAGTAGAACTTGATGGCCTCCAGGCTCTCGTGGTCGCCATCCCCGCCGGGATGGTCGATGTTGAACCACGACGTCCACTCGGCGCCTCTGCCTGCGAGGGAGCCCGGCCTGAGCGCCCCGAGCCTGGGGACAGCTTGGGGACGTGGAGGATGGAGGATCCCGAGCGAGGGTGCCACAGCGGGGTGGGACAATGAGGGGACGCGGTGTCCGGCAGGGCTCGCGGTGCCCGTACCTGCCGTGTCCAGGTCGAGCTCCTCCAGGTCGGGAGCTTTCCAGGGTTTCCCGGCCGTGCCGCCCTTGCCCGGCTCCGACTCGTTCTCCAGCGGCTCTGGGGGACACAGAGGTGGCAGCGCCCCGTTCCCGGGGCTTCTGGAGGGTCCCTCCCGAGCCGTGTCCCCAGCGGGGCTGGGGACACCCTGCCCTGAGCTCCCCGATCGCGGGGGGTCAGGGATTTAGCGGGTACCCCAGGCCAGGCCGGGGTGTCACCGAGGATGGGCCGCAGTGTCCCGGCAGCCAGGAGTGGCCCGAGGGGTGGCCGGGGCTGGAGCTGACCCCATGTCCATGGGAGAGCTCCCTGCCAGCTCCCGGCTGTCCCGGGGGTGCCGCGGGACAATGACACGGCCGCACCACTGAGGCCAGTGCCCCAAACTGGGAGGCAAGAAATTGGGGGGTGAATCCACAAATGTGTCCCCACAGCTGTCCCSGTGTCCCMCGGGTGAATCCTGGGGAGCCGGAGGCATCCACCTGCTCCTCCTGAATGTGGGGACATTCAGCCGTGCCGGAGGGGACAGATGTAGGAAAAAGGTCCCTCTGTCCCATGCCACCCACGGGTGACAACCTAGTGCAGCCCGGATGGCCACGGGCACCCCACGGGCACCCCACAGAATCCCCACGGGCATCCCACAGATTCCCCACGGGCACCCCATGGGCACCCCACAGACTCCCCACGGGCACCCCACAGACTCCCCAGGGCACCCCACAGACTCCCCACGGCCACCACGCCTCCTCCAGCAGCCCCCCCAGGGGACAGCGGGACCCGTGGCAGCTCCGTCCCGCAGGTGGCTGGAATTTGTCCCTGGAGCGGGGACATTCCCGTCTTGGCTGCCCTTGGGTGACCCCGAGGGGTCCGACTGCCGCGGTGCCAGGGCTGGCGGGGACACGGAGCGGGACATTGCTGGTCCCTGTCCCTCCAATGTCGCGATCCCGGGCAGGACAAAATTCCCTGAGCCCCCTCAACACATCATCCTTGGCAGGTGCCACCACCCTGTGCCACCACCCTGTGCCGCCACCCTGTGCCACCCTGTGCAGCCACCCTGTGCCACCACCCTGTGCCACCCTGTGCCACCCCCTCCGGGCGCAGCCCCATCCCCACCCCTGTCCCCTCATTCCCGGTGGGAACGCGTCCCGATCCCGCAATCCCGGGGGCAAATCCCCCCTTACCTGCGGCCCCGGCAGCGCCCAGAGTCAGCAGCGCCAGCAGCGCCAGCTGTGCCAGCTGTGCCAGCTGTGCCAGCTGTGCCATGGCTGCTCCGCAGGGCGACTGCGGCCGCCGCTGGCGCTGCCCGGCCTTTATAGGGCGCGGGTCCCCCCTCTCCAGGCTCGGCTCCTGCTCCGGGCGCTGATTCCTGGAGCGGAGTCAAGCGGGAAGAGGGAACGGAGCCCTCCCCGAGCGGCCGCGCCGCTCCAGCCCCGCCGGAGCGCGGAGCGTTTGTTTTTGCCGAGCTGCTAAAATTGGATGCGCTCGGGAATGCGGCGGGGAGGAAAAAAGGGAAAAGAGGCGCTCGGAGTGGCAGCGCTGCCCCTGGGGACATCGCGGGTGTCTCCGCTGTCACCTGGGAGGGTCTCAGCGAGAAACACCCCCAGGATGGSCGGTGACAAAGGGGGGACCCCCGGAAAGTTTGGGATGTCCCGAAATCTCSCAAATCCGCCCCCCACCCCCAAATTGTCCCTCACCCCCTTTTTTTTTAGTCCCAAATCTGTCACTGAAATGTGGGAGTTAGCCTTCGGAAGGGGCACTGGGACGGACTGGATGATACCGGGATAGACTGGGAGGAACTGGGAGCCCCCCCAGCCCTCCTAAATCCCCCCCAAATTGCCTCACACTCCTCATGTATCCCAAATCCACCTGGAGGTCCGCTCTGGTTTTGGGGCAGTGGAGGGACTGGGAAGAGCTGGAGGAGATCTGGGATAAATGAGGAACCTCCGACCCGCAGCCCCCTCCCCAAAGTTCCYCAAAACCGCCCCCCAAATTCTCCCCCATCCCAAATCCATCACCGAAATCTGGGAATTCGCCCTCCAGAAGGGGCACCGGGAGGGACTGGCGGGACCGGGAAGGGCTGGAGGATATTTGGGATGAACGAGGAACCCCAGCCGGCGGAAATCCCGGCGCATTCCCGGCATTCCGGCTGCGCCGAGCCCCCCGGAGCGGGAGGCAGCTGCGGGGCTGGGCTGGGGTCACGGGCACCGCTCCCTGCTGGGACAGAGGGGACAGTCCCCAGACGTGGCTCGTCACCGTCAATGACAACCCCAGAGTGAGGGGCTGCTCCCGTGTCCCTTTCCCGGTGTTTTCGGGGGATTTCAGCACTGGAGACCCCACAGGACCCCGACAGCTGCCGCTGTCCCCACGGGCGGGTGACAGGGGAGGTGACACGGCTCTGTCCCCAACAGCGGGGTGGTGACACCTCCAGGGGATACACAGGGGGTCAAGCCGTGTCCCCAAGTGCGGCACTGAGTCGCCCCCAACCCRAATTCCACCAGGACGGGGTTCCCCTGTCCCTGTCCCCAAACAGACCCCGCTCAAGAGCCACCACCGCTTTATTTGGGGGTCACAGGGCCACCACGCACTCGGTGCCGGGGTACTCGGGGGGGTTCAGCTCGAACTTCCTCTGCACCTCGTAGGGCAGGAAGCGCCCGGCCACGAAGTGTTGGCGGCCCCCGAAGCGCCGCGCGCACTCCTTGGGGGCCGCCAGCGACACCAGGACATCGGGGCTGATCCCTCCGCTGCCACCGGCCTCGGCATCCCACCCTGCGGACACGCGGGGACAGCGGTGACCCCAGGGGACACATCCCGCACCGAGGGGACACCGAGAGGAGGTGGGGTCACCCCAGGGGACCCGTCCCACCCAGGGGGGACACAGACAGGGGCTGAGGGATGGCCCAGGGGTCCCCTACTGCCGGGGTGAGGGGGACATTGGGGCGCTGGAGCTGCGCAGGGCTCAGGGAGGGCACAGGGACCGCGTCCCCTCCCGGCCCGGCGGGGATTCACCCGCGCCGAGCCAGCGGCTCCTGTTTTGCTGCCGCGGCCCGGGGGGGACAGGGCGGGCGGGGGGGACACGGGTGATGACAATCCCAGGCCTGGCCACAGACACGCGGCTGTTTGTCATGACGTCATGTCTCGGGCCGGGCACTTTGTTATTGCCGTGGATGCCCCGATCCCGCCCGGATCCCGCGGGGAGGGGGGCACGGGGGGACCGGGGATGTCCCCACCCTGCCCGGCCACCGCGGGGGGACCCGGGGATGTCCCCACCCTGCCCGGCCACCTCGGGGGGACCCGGGGATGTCCCCACCCTGCCCGGCCATTGCGGGGGGACCCGGGGATGTCCCCACCCTGCCCGGCCACTGCGGGGGCTGCGCCCGGGGTGACACCGCCATGGGCGCGGTGCCAGCGGCAGCGAGGGGGACACGGGGAGCACCTGAGGGGACATCCAGGCTGACGATGGGGATGCGGATGTGCTTGAGGGTGGCCAGGATGGCCGCGCAGGGCTCTGTCCCCTCGGCCACCTCGGCCTCGGCTCCCAGCACCGCGTCCACCACGGCGTTGTAGGCGTCGTTGATGAGCTGCACCTGGAGGGGGTGACAGCGACACGCGGGGGTGTCCCCGGGTCACCCCTCAGGGACGAACCCCGGGGATGCCGCTTTCCTGCAGGGATCGAGCTCCGCCTGCCAAAAAACACCCCCAGGTGGAGCGGGAGGGAGGGAGGGGATGCGGGCGCGGTGGCGGAGCAGAGCCCGGCACGCCGAGACGCGCGGCCCCGGCCAGGGCAGCGATTTTGGGTCAAATTCCTCCCGTTCAGCGCCAAAAACAACAGAGCCGCTGGCTGGCGGCAGCAGCCGCTGGATTTCATGGCATCCCCGGGCTCCCGACAGCGCCGGGATGGGGCGGGGAGCGGGAAAGGGAAGGGAAAGAGGGATAAACTCGGCGCTGTGGGGCGGGGGTTTCGGGGGGCTGCGGGGCGCACCTCGGTGGGCAGATAGGACAGGAAAGGGATGTCCATCTTCTCACACTGCGTGGTGAAATCGCGGTACAGCGGGTCCGGGGAGCGCTTGGGGTAGAAGATGGTGGGCTCGTAATCCTGAGGGAAAAGGTCAGGGATGGGAGCCGGGACGGGAGCCGGGATGAAGGGGAGGAGGAGGAGGAGGAGGAGGAAGGGAGGGAGGTACCCACAAAGCTGCGGAGGTGGCGGGCACACACCAGCCCGATGGCCCCGTTCTGCGCCGGCCCGCACACCACGAGCACCGTGGGCTGCTTCCGCGGCAGCGACGGCAGCGGGAACGCCTGCGGGGACACGGGGGTGGCGCGGTGTCACCGGCACCCGGGGACACGGGGACACAGAGATGGCGCGGTGTCACCGGCACCCGGGGACACGGGGACACAGAGATGGCGCGGT